TCCCCCGCCCCGCCATGGGCTCTGTGGGCAGGCAGGCTAGGACCTGAGTCCCCAAAGCTGCCTTTGGACAGGTTACCTGATGTCCCTGTCCCTCAGCTTCCTCGTCTATGAGATGAGGCTCACGAGACAAATTAAACCTGCCCAGTGCACAGCCAGGGAGGGAGCAGAGCGACATGGGCCACGTGCCTGGGACAGCCAGAGCAGCTTTGCTTCTGCGCTGAGGCCATCCTGCCCTCGGCCTCTGCCCCACTCCCAGTGCGGCTTCCTGCAGCCTGACCTGCTGCTCTGCAGCATCCTGATTCACAGGGTTGCAGCCCCTCCACCCTGGCTGGCTCGGGCTCCTGCAGCCACTTGACAGTGGGCAACGCCTGCCAACTGGGAGACAGACCCAGGGCCCTGCAGAGTCACCACGGGAACTGATGAGTGGGGTTCCCATGGAGAGAGGCGCAAGGGCTGGGAGGAGGCCTGGGGGCCTTCCAGGGGGAGACAAACGGCAAGCACCTGTCTTGGACATGAGAAACTGGTAACACCGAATGAGGTGGGAGTTTGGATTTAGTGCTGGCTATGCCAGGGCCCTGTCTGCCCCCCGGTTCTGCATCCCCTACGCCAGGGCCTCCTCCGTTCCTGTGGTCACCATGCCCTTACTGCTGTCTCTCACAGTCTGTGGAGTGAGCTAGGTGAAGGCCCATCTCAGGGCCCAGTGCCTTTTTGCTCTCCCCTGGGGCCCAGTTGAGCACAGCCTCTTGACATGAATTATCACCGTTTATCCCGGGCACCAGTCTCACCCGGGGACCAAGGGGATTCCCGTCTGGAGGCCGTGAAGTGCAGTGAGTGGGAGCGCAGGCCTGGCCGGAGGGCCTGACTCTTTCCCAAGTGTTTTACTCTATTTTATTGTTTTTGCCAGATGGCAGAATTTTACGGTTTTACTAACACAAACACAGTGTGCACACAAGCTGTCTATTCATTTTCTTCGCTGCGCAGCCTGGCATTGGGAATGGTGACCCTGACGGCCGGCTGGGCTGCTCTGTGCGCAGTGGCTGGGCAGCTGCAGGAGGAGGTGTTGTGAGCGGTCTCAGCACAGCGACATTTATTGCGCATCCGCAGCACTTCAAGCTCCGTGCGGTTATGGACCAGGAACCTCCGAAAGCCCCTGGGCAGCGTGGGCTCTGTTTTCCTGTTGCTCCCCTAGCCAGCGCCGGGCTCAAGGTCTGGCCCTTGAATCTACTGCGCACCCTTTTGTCAATGGCTCTGAGTCTCTGCCAGGCATGCTTAAGTCTGACCTACCGGTCTGACTGGTGCCGGACGAACTCCCTGGTCCTCTCTTTCACAATCTCAGGCTTCACAAGGGTCTGAGGGCAGCCCGAGGCCCAGTAGGGGACGGCTGCCACCTGTGTAGGCAGCACCAAAGAAGAGAGGAAGAGCAAGTCTCTCAATCAGCTGTGCTCCCTGAGCCTCCCTTGCTTACGGTGTAAGAATAACAAGCCCCTTCCTCCTGCGAGGAGCGAATGTTGGAATTCTTACAAAGTGCTTGCACGGAACCTGGCACTTGCTCAGTAAGGGCCTGATGTTGACTATTGATGAAATGATTGACACAGAAAGAAGTGCTCGGGCACCTTCATCCCGTGATGCAGAGCGCGTACCGGCTGCTGACCTGCCTTGCCCCCAGGCCGCCTGCCCAGCAGAGACTGGGCCTGGCTCCTCTGGGTCTCCCAGGTCGGGCTGCTGAGGGCCCACGTCGAGGGTGGATGGGCCCAGGACTGGGAGGAGGGGAAGGTTGGACGGAGTGGGCAAGTCAGCAGGCGGGGCTGTCAGTCATGACTCACATGGACGATACCCAGCAAAGCTGGAGTGAGGAAACCAGACTGACCCCAAATGACATTTAATAATAACACCACCACCATTAATAGTAACCATTTATTGAGCACTTACTATACCAGCACCCCAATTAACACGTTATGTGTATTATCTCATTTAATCCTTTAAACAACCGTGGGAAGTGATTGTTGTTATTCCCTTTTCTGGAAGAGGCAACAGAGGCTCAGAGACATTAAGTCTCTTGCCCAAGGGAACTCAGAGGTGGAGCCAGAACTTAAACTCTCTGTCTTGAAGACCCCAGCGGCAGTTCCTGTGGCTATCAGAGCCGAGTGACTGGCCCAGGAAATGGGAAGGTCAAGGGGCATAAAACCATCCTGATTCTCATTTCCCAGACTGGCCCTTTTGGTGACAAGGGACTGCCACTATCTCATGGGGACCTGAAGGGCACCACAGAACCCTCCGGGGCCTGGGCTCCCTGGGCATTGCTCCCCCCAAGGCAGGTCTTCCCGCTGTGACTTCCCCTTGGATGCTGTGGCCCCAGGGAGTCCTGCAGCCAAGCTGGGCCATGACGCTAGGGGAGGGATGTCAGTACCTGTCCCTGAGTGACCAGGCTGGGGGGTGTTGTGCAGTGGCGAGTCCAGCATTCCTGTGGTGCCCCCCCCCCCCCGTACCTGGGTGCCAGCCTCTTGCCCTCCTGCCCCTAACTCATGGCCTCGCTAAACCTGCAGCCGCCCTCTGGGAGTGGCTTTGCCAGAACCAGGTAGAAACAAACCTGTGCTTCTGTTTCCTGGGGGCCATCTCTTCAAAGTCACCCTCCACAGCCCATGTTGCCCACGGTGCCTGGCATGGGGCAGCCCAGTGCAGCACACAAACCGGGTTCGAATCCACTCCATCCCTTCTAGTTGTGTGACCCTGGGCAAGTGACCTACACTCTTTAAGTCTTGGGGCCTCATCAAGGAAAGGGGTTAATGGGGACCCTTCCTTACACAGTTGGTGTGCAGGCAAAGGGACTCATCAGTGAGGAGTGTACACTTAGCACAGGACCCTGGGCCGCAAACAGGCTCAGTGAGTGAGGGCGCTTGCCACTGGGGACAGAAGGAGTCTCCCCCTGGAACAGCCTTCCCCGGCCACCCTGCTGAAAGCAGGGCTCCCCTTTCTTCTTACTCACAGCACTCTTTCTTCAAGAGCACTCAGCCCAGTTTGTAATTATACACACGTTTGTTTACTTGTCCATGAGAGCAGGAACTGTGTCTGTTTTCCACCGCCGACCCCGGCACGGAGAACAGGAGCGCAGCGGATGCTGGCTGAATGGACGGCAGCCCTCCCGAGTCTTCCTCGGGCAGAGCCGGGGTCGGACTTTCCGCCTCCTGTCAGAGCACAGAGCCCTCTGTGTCCCTCCGCCGCTCCTCCAGAGACGACCCTGCAGCTGGTGCAGCTGGGAAGGGCTGGATTCTGTCTGCTGTGCCAGCCGCACAACAGCTGGGGCTGCGTCGCTGGGTGGGGCCCACGGCTGGGTCTCACACTCACCTTGTTGGCCGTGATCCCTGGCGAGTGATGGGCTCCTCCTGGGGCTGCTTCCACCTCTCCGCCCTTCTGCAGCTGTTCGGCCCGTGGACCCCACGGCCCCAACCACGGCCACAGCGGGTCTCCACCAGAGCCCGTCTTCATCCCTCTCCCACCTGGAGCTGGGCTTTTCTGGAGAAGCTTCTCTGCCTCCCACTTCCCTCCAGTCCCACCTCCTTCTAGGTCTCCCCTGCCTCCTGCCCTCAATTGAGACCAGGGCCCCTTGGCCTTGGCAGATGTGTGAGGCTGGGGAAGGCACTCGGAGTCCAGATGTGATTGTGTTTATGTTTCCAGAGAGTGAGGGGTCGGAGCTCTGGACTGGAGCCGCTGGGGGAGGGGCGGTCTGGTTCCAGGCCCCCGCCCGGCCCTCCCTCCCCCCCTCGCCCCTCCAGCCTGTGTATCTGGCCCTGCTCCTCTCAGAAGCCCACGCTCCAAGTCCTGTGGCACCAGGCCGGGCCATCCTCCAGGAAGGGCCCTGCCTGCTTCCTCACCTGCGGGTGAGAAGAGCAGCGAAGGGCGCCTGCCTGGCTTTGGGACCTAAAGACTTGACTCCTCCTGAGCTCGGGCCCAGTTACCTAGGTCAGGCGGCTCCTGCCGCGGAGCCTGCAGTTCGGCCCTGTCATCTGAGTAGCGGGGACAACACCCGACCTCAGAGGCGGTGCCGACCTGGTTTGAGAACATGCGCACGGGGCTCTCCAGCCGTTAGTTCGTGGCCAAGCCCACATGTGCCCACTCCCAGCTGGGCTAGCCGGCCTCCCTCTGTCCAGCTCCAGGGCAGCGCCACTCCCTGTCCCAAGGTGATCCCGAAGCAGAATTACCGACTCCTTTCCCTCTGCTGCAGCTGCAAATATTTTGTTTTGCCATTAGAAGTGACTGACTTAAGGAAAGCAGCATTTTACAGGCAGTTTACAGGCTGGTCTTGCTCAGTAGTTTCCAAATGCTGGGGGAAGGTGGAGGCAGCCCGGAGCCTCCAGTAAGTTAGGATGGAAGGGAAGTGAGAAATGAGTTCTGCGTGTTGGAGAATTTCTGTGGCAAGCTACACACCCCCGGATGGGACTGGGGGCAGATGAGGGGAGGAGGGGGACCCTGGCCAGAACGGCGCACCTGGCATTCACAGCCCCCCTTGAACAGAACAGCCGGGGCAGGGCTCCAAGGTGGGGATGCCGGGCCCGTAGGAGAAAAGGCAACCCCAGACCCAAAGAGGCTCTCGGCAGTCCCGCCCCTCCGTGCTGGGCGGGCAAGGGTCGCGCACACCCCGAGAGCCCGGAGGGTCACTGCAGAGCCAGCCTAGGAAAAGCCTGCAGAGCCCCGGCGGCCGGGGTTTGAGCGGGGCTGGGAGGCGGTCCGGGTTGGGGCGACCAGCGCCGGCAGCGCGAAGGCTGAGCAGCCCCGCGGGTGAGCACCCGGCGCAGCGGCGCGCGGACTGGAAGCTCCGGGTGCCCGGCAGCGCCCTCACGGGAGCCGGGCGGACAGGTGGTGCGGAAGCAGGGGCATGGGCTCCGGCGGGGTGCGCCTCCATCTTCCCTCCTGTCCTCGGGGCCCTCGGTGGCGAATTTCCCGTTCGGCCCGCCTCCCTCCTCGGATGAAAGAAGGACTCGGGGCTCAGCAGTGGTTAGCACGCTCGTACTATGGTTTTAATAGACGTACATGGACAAGTCGATATAGACAGATTTATAATTCTATACAGTCAGTCCGACATACACAGGGACGCTGTAAACAGGGGAGCGGGCCGGAGAGCGGGTGTGCAAAGTGGGCGCGGCGCGAGGCCCTGGCCGCGCCCCGAGCTCTCCCGGCTCGACTCTGGCACGGCGGGAGGTGAGGCGGCGCTGCGCCGGGACCAAGGGGCCACCTCCCAGTCTGGGAGCGGAGCAGAGGGCCTGGGCCTGCGGCGACGCTTGGGTACCCGAAGCCGAGCCCACCCCATCCTCTCACTGCCAGCTGCGGCGATGTAGCCTTAACATAGTTTTCCCGGGCGCGCCAGGGCCGCGCGAGGCTCCTCGGCGAGTCCTCGGTCCCGGGCTAGACACCGTCATCCCCGGCTGAACGCCCGCTCCAACTCGGATCCGGATCTAGCTAAGGTTCGTTCTGCCAGGCCCAGCTCGGAGAGGGTATCTTGGTTCGCACTGGGCCGGGGCCAGGATCCCGGGTCCCGGGAGCGTCCAGTTCACGGGCCCGGCGGCGCAGCCCGGGCCCAGCGCGGCAGGAACGCGGGCTTCACGGGCGTCCTCTCGGGCCTCCCGCCCCGCGCCCTCTGCGCGGAGGGGCCGCTGCGGCCCAGGGGAGCGCACACACACCATCCGCACCATCCCGAGGGAAATTGCAACTCATCCGTTTTTTTCGTGGCATTTCGCTCCGACGTCTTTTTTTTTTTTCTTTTTTGACTGGTTTTGGAGGGCAGAGTGGGGTCCAGAAAAGCAAACACAAAACCAACCCAGAGTGGGGTGAAGGAGGAAGGGGCGGTGCAGGCGCGCGGCCGGGAGCCGCGAGCTGGGCCCCGCGCGCGTCCTCCGCCCCTGCGCCCTGCGGCCCGCGTGGCCCGGCGGGGCGGTCAGCTGTTGTACTGGCAGGCGTTGAGGCCCGAGGCCGGGCCCTGCAGGCCGCCGTAGCCGAACGACGAGTGCTGCTTGGACTTGAGCCGCAGGCTAGCTAGGCTCGAGTTGCACGTGTCCCGGTAGACGCTGTAGGGCGAGGCGGGCGTGCCGTACGGGCAGGCGCCCGGGGACATGGCCGAGTTAAGCGAGGAGCCGGTGAGGTTGTTGATGTTGTTGAGGCCCGAGTTGGGCATGCCGGGCACGGCGGCCGGGCCCATGCTCGAGGGCATGGTCATGGAGGAGATGGAGCTGGGTGCCGAGAACATGGACTGCGACGACAGCGGGCTCATGGAGTTGAAGAAGGTGAAGCTCTTGGTGGAGAGCGGCGCTGGCGCCAGGCTCTTGGCGGCCCAGTTGTTGTAGGAGTAGCCGGCTGCATACACGTCCTCGTAGGGCTGCACCAAGCCGCTGAACTGCGGCACGTAGCCGCCCTTGCACAGGTCCAGCTGCTGGTTACGCTCACGCTTCCGCCACTTGGCTCGCCGGTTCTTGAACCAGACCTGGAGGAACCGGGCAGGACAGGGGTCAGGGCGGCGCGGGGCGGGAAGGCGCCCCCCGCCCCCCACTCGCTTCCTTCGCTCTGAACGTAGTTTCTTCGACATTTCCGCCCCTGCCTTTTCTCCATAATGGTCGCTTTCCTGTCCCCAGAAAATACTAGTGTTTCTCTATTCCTGATCTCTATCCCCTTCCCCAAATTAAATCCGTTTTCTTCTTACTACGGATCCTCTAGTTTTAACAAACATTCGTTTTTTCCTTCCTCTCTCAACCCGGCCATTTTCTGCTTTCTCTCCCTAACCGGCCCCTAGCTGCCTCCTGAACAGCCCGTCCTTTTTCTTCTCCCTCGAACACAAAAGGTGTTTTTCTTCCCTGAAACGTAGGATCTTCCTGCTCCCCCCACCCCCAACTCTCCAATCTGCTTTTCATTCCTCATGTGGTCTGTTTCCATCTTTATTTGCAATACTTCATATTCTCATTTCTTTCTCAAATGTTTTGTTTTTTCGTTTGCTAGCCGAACAGCTTTCTTCTCTTTTAAACCATCCATTTTCTTCGTTACCCCCCATTTTGATTCCTCGCCAAATATTTAGTGTTTTCCTTGCTTCCAGGTATCTGACCTTCATTGATTTCTCTTAATAGTTGATTCTTTATTTTCTCAAATACTTGATTCTTTTGCTTCTCTCTTAAATGTTTAATTTTATCTCTGCCACCTAAGTATATGCTAAATATGTTTCTCTGCAAATATTTAATTTCCTTTCACTTACTAGTTCCTCTCGAATGTCCCCTCCACTTCCTCCCACGAGGTTGATGCTGGACCCCTTGTTTCCACACCTGTCTTTCCCACCCGCGTCCACCTTCCCCCTGCATGCCCTCTGCCGTCCCTCGCAACCTCCAGCCCTGGGCTGTGTTTCAGCAGCTGCTTGACTGACCCCGTAGCTCAGCCTTCCTCAGTCTTCAGCATTTAGCTGCCTGATTCCCCTGTCCCCCCCACCATAAACGGGCAGAATTGCGGAGTGCGTTTCTCCAGGCTGGCCGGCTTGCCGGAGTGAGAGTTGGGGTTGTAGCAGGGAGTCCGGGTGGGACTTTGGTCTGTCTGGCTTGAGACATGCTCCCAATATGATTAAATATTTGTGCACGGGAGACGAAATGATTCCCTTGCTGCTTTGGTAGGAGAGCCCTACTCCTACTGGGAGAAGCAGGGTGCAGTCTGGTGTTGGTAGGAAACCTTGTGTCTCCAAGGGAACTTGACCTGACAGTCACTCCCCTACCAGAGCTACCCCCCCCAACCTGACCCCATCCCTACAGGAAATGGAATTAGGGAAAAGGCCCAGCTACCCACGGACTGAATAGTGAGGGACGAGTCAGGGAGACAAGTCCAGCAATTTTGGAAAAGCTGGGATAGATGGGGCCACTGGTCCAGAAATTTTTGAGACCCCGAAACTAGGCACCTTTCAGGCCTCTGGCAGGCCACCAGGCAGGACCCGCCTCTCCCTTTTTGGGGAGGTGGGGTGGGGCACCAGCAGCTCTGAGGTCCCCAGCAGTGGGGAACCCTAGGCGCTGTCTAGGGTGGCCCCAACGGGGCAGGCCCTGGGCCATACAGGGCACAGAAAGTTTCCTGGGGCCGCAGGTCTTCGGGCTGGGGCTGCAGTAGAGCCAGAGGGTCGGTTGGATGCGCGTCAGAGGGATCCGAGACGGCAGCAGCCGAGGGTGCTAGCGGCCAAAGGGCCCGGCAGTGGCAGGGCAGACGCGGCCTAGGGTGGAATCTGCCACCGTGGGAAGAGGGGCAGGTCTGCGTGGTGGGAAACAGTGAAAGCCTGAGCACGGCTCTAGCTTTCGAGTGCTGCGGCCGAGGCGCCGGCAGCCGTGTGTGTGTGTGTGTGTGTGTGTGTGTGTGTGTGTGTGTGTGTGCGCGCGCTCGCGCGCTCCGGCTCACCCTCACGCGCGGCTCCGTGAGGTTGGTCCACACGGCGATCTCCTCCCGCATGCTCATGTCGGGGTAGCGGTTCCTTTGGAAGGTGGCCTCCAGCTCTTGCAGCTGCTGGCTCGTGAAGTGTGTGCGCTGCCGCCGCTGCTTTTTCTTCTTGGCGGGGTCCTCCGCACCTCCGCAGCCCGCACCGCCGGCACCGCCGTCCTCCGGCCCCTTGGGCTCCCCGCTGCGCTCCTTCTCTGAGGCAGGCAGGACGGGGCTCCGGTCACCTTGTGCCTAAGCCCTTGTGTATCCCATCCCGGCTCCATCGAAGGACCCGCCGTCAGCGCCCTCCCTCCTGGTGGGGGCTCTGGAATTGTCTCCACCAGGAAGAGCCCACCAGACGCCTTCTAGCCAGTAGCCGCCTCTGGTCTGGGGTGCCTGGAGAGGAGCCCAGTCCAGCAGCCCCGCAGCCCCGCCGCCCCGCCGCCCTGCCGCCCCGCCGCGGGCCTGGGCTCCTGGCAGGGCAGGGCCCGCTCTCCCAGCTTGGCTCAGGCTTAGGCTTCAGCCCTACTTCTAAAGTCACCGCAAATGTACCATTTTCAAGAGTGGGTCTAAATTTGAAGGAAGTCTCTGCTTTCCTGAGCTAGGATTAAATTTTTGTAGCCCGAAGCTAGTGGGTCTGTGAGCCCGAGCCAGGCGGCGTGACACGCAGCCCCTCCACTCTCTTCTCTCCAGGGCTATGTGGGAGCCGCGAGGGGCAGGCCCACACAGCCCCGTTCTGGGCCTCAGCTGCAGGCCTCCCGTCCCCGGAAAGGGAGAGAGAAAGAGAGAGGCCCTGGAAATTTCTCAGGCTGCAGCCCAGGCCGACAGACTGTCTAGGAGACCCAGGACTGTTCTGGCCTCTCTCCTTTGTAACGACACAAAACGCAAGCAGTCGTAGAAACATCGATCGAAACATACAAAAAGAACTTATTAGTAAAACAGAAGCCTCGAAAAGTTCACAGCTCTCTGCCTAAAAGCACAGAAAGAGACACAAACTCAAAACCAGTCAGGTGGGAACACAGAGCAGATGCAAACTAAGGCGCCAGAAACACACCCCTAACTCAGTACAGTGCGTGGTGCACAAACGCCAGGCGGATGGCGTTGCCTTCTCTGGGATTTAAAAATCAGTGCCCTGTTGGAGAGAGCTTTTTAACCCCTTCTCAATAATGTCCTTCCAAAGGTAACATTCAAGTCCCAGGGAAATAGAACACTATAGTTAGACAACTTCAATTCCCCCAATTAACACCGGATTTTGAAAAGCTACCGAGAAACGCGCCATTTTGGGTTGACTTTTAAAATTCTCTTGAAGAGCAATGTTGCATGTAGATATTTTAAATTCCAGAGAAATATACCTATCAGAGTAATTCTTTATGTACAGAAGAATAGAGTCAAAAATTTAAATCTACCCTCACACATTTGTATTTAAAAAAACAACCTGCGACTATGTTTCTCTGGGTTTTAAAAATAAAAACTAAGCAAAGGCCACGCTTAAAACTTTTGAAAACAAAAGCACAGCCCGGCGTTGATTAGTTTTCAAAACCAAGCGAACAGAACCTCTCGGAGAAAGTCACTTAGGGACGCAATAGAGAAACAGGCGGAGATTAAAACCCCGTAGAGAAGCCCACTGCGCGGCGGGGACGCAGAGAGCGCGGAGCGGCGGGCGACTCGGGGAGCGGAGCCGGCGGGGATCGGCCGCACGTCTCCTCGCACCGCCCGCCGCGGGCCGGGGAAGAGCTGGACTTCCAGCCGCGGGGCGGTGGCGAGGAGACGCGGCCGAGCGGAGTCGGGGCCCGGCTCCCGCGACCCCTCGGGTAGGGGTCCTGCCCCGAGCCCCGCAGCACCCGCCGGCCCTCGCTGTCCCTCGTTTTCCTTTTCCTCGGGGTCGTCGCCCCCGAGCCCCGGTTTGCTTCCCTGACTCTTCCCGCCGCCCCCTCGCTTCGGCGTCCTCTTCTCGGCCGGGGAGCCCGTCCGCGGGGCCGCGCCGCTCTGGGCACTTTTCTCTCGCCCGCCGCCCGGCTGCGCGAACCCCACTTCCCCCCCGTCTCTGCTCCCGGCCTCGGGGGGCTGTCAGTTCGCCTCCAGGGCCGTGTGTCGGCGCACCGGTCGGTCTCGGGGCGAGTGGGCACCGCGTGGAAACGCCTTCGTGCGGCACTAAATGTCCGCTTCGCGGAGCGATTGAATCGGAGAGGGAAGCGCCCCAACCCGGGGCGTGGAAGCCCGGCCCGCGCCCCGCGCCCCGCGCCGGGGCGGGTTCCGTGCGCGCCGCCCGGGCGCTGCGCTTACCTGGCAGCTCCGTGTCCGACGACTCGCTGGCGGAGTTCTCGAGCGGCTCGCGGGGGTCGGCGGCGCGGGCCAGGTGGAAGGCGGGCCCCATGTCGTGCGGCGGTGGCTGCGGCGGCCGCAGACCCTCCGGCAGCCGCTCCAGGCTCATGCCCCCCTTGAAGGCGTCCATGGAGGCGGGGACCGCAGCGGGCGCTCCCGGGGCCGGAGCTGGGCCGCCCGGCCGCCCTGGCTGCGACCTGAGGGGACAAGAGCGCAGCGCCTAAGCGGCCACCCCCCAGGGCTGCCCGCGCCCGCAGCGTCCCCGCGCCCGCCCCATGGGCCGCCTGGGGCTGCGGGGCCCGGCGGGCGGCAGCAGCGGCGGTTCCTTCCGACCCGGCGCCCGGCTTCGCGCTCCGCTCCCGCCGCTCGGGCCTCAGCCGCCCGCCCGGCCCCGGCTCCGCCTCCCGATCCGGGGCCGGTTTCTGAGGCTCCGGCCGGCGCCGGCAGAATCCGTCTTAAAGCGACAGCGCGAACCGCCAGGTTCCAGCAGTCCCCGCGCCGGGGGCGGTGGGTGGGGTGGGCCCGGTGGGAGGGGGCGGGGAGGCGGGAGCGAGAGGGCGAGGGAGCGCGGGCGGGATCCGGCCCCGAGCCGCCCGCCCTCCCCGCCTCGCCCGCGCCCTCCTCCGGGCACCTTCCCTCGCCTCCCCGCCCCCGCTCCCCACCCCCCGCGGCCTCTCCCTCCTTCCCCGGTGACACACCGAGTGTTCCCCGGGCCGCACAAAAGAAACGCGTCGGGCCTGCAAGTCCCGCGCCCACCGCGAGCCCCGAAAGGCTCGTTTCGCTCAGAAGCGACTCCTATCTGGGCCGAGAAGTCCCCAGCCCCCGGGCGAGAACCGCTCAGGAGGAGTGAACGCTCCCTAACCAGGATCGCACCGAGCGGGCGCCTCCGCGCCGGGGCCGGGGCCGGGCAGGGGCAGAGCCCGGGCCCGTCCCGCCAGCTCCCAGCAGCGTCCTCGTCGAGGGGCCACCGGCCCCTCCTTCCTCAGCCTCTTCTCCGGGGACCGGAGCCCAGCTGAGTGACAGCAGCCTGCGCTCTAATGGGCCCCCGGATGCTGCCTCCTAATTAGCTTGGACCCTCTCCCCCCAAGGCTGCTTCTTAGGCCCCCGCCTTTGCACCGCAGTCAGTTTTCCGGGATTGGGATAGAACCGGTGGCTTCTAATCAGATGAGACGTTTCTGTTGGCTCCAGGCCGTTGGCGAGTGCCGCCGGAGACCCCAAGAGCCCCGCCGAGCCCCTCTTCTGTGGGGCTCTTTCCCCTCGCTCTGCACCTTTACCCAGGCAGTTAACCGGCGAAATCTACCAAGCACAGGGCGGGCCTCTGCCCCCTTCAGGGCAGGTTCGTTGCCGCCTGGGGCCTCCACTGGGGTTTCGCAGGGCTGCAAGCGGGGGCCTGGGAGGCCAGGTGAGGGCACTTCCCCAACAGCGGGCCGCAGCCCAGGAGCCCTACAGTGGAGCTTCTCTTGGACACGTTCCCCTCCCTGCTCCCGGGAATGATCCCCTCCTTGAGTCCTCCTCCTTCAGTGGAGTTTGTTGAAGGATTTTGCCCAGCAATTGTTAACTGGCCCTGAGACCTCAGAGTCTTGAGTAAACAGGTGACAGCTGGGGCGGCAGGGTGCAACCCTGACCTGTTTTCCCGGCCACAGCTGGACCCTGGGCCGCCCTCGGCTCCTCACCTGCTTACCCGTCCCTCCAGACAGGAGCGGTGCAGGGCTGGACAGTGGCCTGGGGAGAAACACAGTCCTACTTCCAGGCCCGGTGCCTTCCCCCAGGGCCCAGTGCATTCTCATCTCCCCCTGGGGAGGGGATGTCTCTACTTGGGAGGGAACATGCAAGCTGTCAGCCTTTGGGGTGCTCTGCAGGCACTGCCTTGAGCCCTCACTCTGGCTCCCCTCAGAGGATGACCCCAAACCGAGCTCCCTGGTGAGGACGGCAGGGGCAGGGGCAGGGGCAGGGGCTGGGGCAGGGTGGAAACAGTCCTGCCTCTGACTCCCTCAGCCTCACCCTGAGACCTGCAGCTCTGGGCCCCGGGGAGAAGGCACAGTTCCTCGAGGCCTGGCCAGCGCTCACTGGGTGCTCGTGAGCACAGGGGGCAGGGTCTGAGGCAGAGGCCAGAAGCATCTCGGAGTTGGGGTTGGGGAGTCTCAGCTAATCTTGCCCTTTCCTCCCGAAGGGACGTTTCTCTAAATTGAGCACCCCCTCTCCAGCATGTGTGGGGGCATGGTAGGAGCGGGACTTGGTGAGGTATGGTTGCCCAGCATTTGCCATCAGCTCCATCTTTTACCACAGTTCTCGGCTGAGTCTCCAAGGCAGCAGGTACCTCGGAAGTCCCTAGGTGCTGTCCCACGCCCGCCCGGGAGTGCCCCTTCACCTACTATGCCGTGGCTGCCTTTACTTGGACTGGACAGCTTGCCACAGGCAGGGCACAGGAGCGGGCACACACACCCAGGTGTGCACATGCACACAACTGTGCTGTGTACCCACAGACACTCATACTCACTGCATCCTCACACAGAGTGCCAAGTACGGTCACATAGGTGTGTGCACCGCCAGGCCTCGGGTCCCAGAATGCTGGTGATGTTTGGCACAGAACCTGGCCAGTAGGGGAAAGGAGGTGTGTTCAGGCCAAGGGGGGAAGCACAGTGCCTTCTGGGTGGGGACAAGGGATAAACTGTCTGCCTGTGGGTATCACGGGGTTGAGGGTCGCAGCCCGTTTACTCCCCAGAGGGTCTTAAGAATCAGGCCTTCCATGGATGGGGACTGTTTTGTGACTCTACAGCTTTATTCAGTCTGGGGGCTTGCATCACTCACTCTTAATGGGTTTAATGCAATTATTGAGCACCTGCCGTGTGCCACTCTGGACCCAAGCCTCTGGCAGCAGTCTAGGCAGCCAAAGTACTCCCTAAACTTGGGGATATCGATGCCTGCTCTGTGGACGGAAAGGCCCTCGAGCTACTGTGGGCAATGCTTCATATGTCCCGGGCCCTGAGCCCCAGAGAGGGGCTGAGCTTCTTGGGGGCTGAGCCTCTCAGGGACTGCGCCTCTCGGGGACTGCCCTGGCAAATCTGCTCTGCTGGATCCGGTCAGTGCCGAAGGAGCAGGGGCCCCTAGCCTGCTCCCGGGTGTTGCGGAGAGGGACCTGGGCGAGCTCTCTCTTTCCCCAGCCACACCCTCCACCAGCCACTACCCCAGGCAGGATAGGGGCTTCTTTCTTTCACTGTCACAGATCTCTCTCTCTCTCTCTCTCTCACACACACACACACACATACACAAATGGGACAGAAGGCAGCTGTCTTTCAGGAGTAAAAGTAGGGGTCCAGTGTTCCCTGGCTTTGCTGTGTGACCTTGGACAAGGTTTGGCCTGCGCTGTGCCTCAGTTCCCCTGTCTGAATGGGACACGGCCATTCCCGTCTGCTGCTTCAGTCTCCAGCTCACTGGACAATGGGACAGGAGGAGAGGGGGCTCTCTGGTGTCGGAATCAGGTGCCCTGTTGTGCGCCCTCCAGGCCACACAGTGTTAACAGTGATTTTGTGACTTTCAGGGAAGTCGGGACTTAGAGTCCTGCCTGGGCTGAGCAGAGAGGGGCCTGGCTGCCGAGGGGTTGAAGTACACGCTCGGGGACTCCTCCTGAGGCTGGGCTCCCTCATGACGGGCTCTGCTCCCAGGAATGGTTTGGGACTTTTATTTGGGAAGGGTGGTTGGAGGGTCCTCATGGAGGGCATCCTTCCACCCATGAATGGGTGGAAAGATACCTTCCACCCTGACCTAATCTTCAAATACGAATGGAGGGATTTCAGGAAAAGGGAAGGAATGTGCCATGGCTTGCCCCCAGGGCCATCCACAGCTCTCCGGGACATTCCAGCCCTAAGCCTCTTAGGCCCGTGGAGAAGTTCAAACTAGAAAACCCAGTTTTGGGAGTGCAGACGGGACCACCTACGGCCTTCCGCCTGGTCTAAGACCCCCTCCCCAATAAAAGCTTTTATTTCTTTGAATGTAATTGCTGGGTGAGGGGGCAAAGGGGCGCTCAGGTAGGCGCTGGGAGCTATCTCACGGGGTTATCAAGGCTTCAGGGGTCCTCAGCCTGAAGCTTCTTGTCAACTGGGTTCCCCCCACCCCCGCCTGACCTGGTGGGGAGAGCGCTGGGGTGTATTCAGGCAGGATGACTAGGTAGGGTGCCCGTGGGACCCTGGAACTCAGAGCTCTTGCCAGAAGCTGGTGAGGGCCCATTGGTGTCCTTGCTCATGGCTCGCCCGACTCCACGGTGGGTATCTGATTCCTGAGAACGGCTGAGCAGAGCAGGAGAGAAGCCTAGGAAAGTGGCAGTGGCTGGTCGAGTAACTGGGGAGCAGAGGGTCGGTTTGGGCAGTATCACAGTCTCCTCTTCCCAGGAGCTGTTGCAGAGAGAAGGGCACTCTGAGCCTGGCTGGAAGGTCAGCGGATGCCGCCTCTACGTCCTACAGTGCAGGAGGCCAGTCTCCATGTCCCAGTCTGCTTTCTTTCCTTCTCCCGGTGAAGATCAGGAGTCCCCAAGCATTCTGGAGAAGGGGCAGGGGCCCAGCAAGCCCCTTCCTGTGCCGCCCCTGCTGCCCGCAGCTTTTGCCGTTCCCCAGAGCCCGCGGCCTCCACCCAGTCAGTGGACAGCAGCGCGGGTCGCCTCCCTCTGGCCCTCGTGGCTGTCAGAGGCCACTGGGATGCCAAGAGAATACTGAGCCTCCGTTTCTCAGAGAATTCGACTTAAATATTTTAAGATTAAGGGAATCCCTAGAAAGGAAAACCTCGGAACCAGGGTTCCAGCCTGGGGCTCCCATTTCTGCGGTGCCGGCCGCGGTGCTCTCGTCTGACCCGCGCTGAATCCGCGCGGATTCAGGAGGCTGGTCCAAGTGCGGGCTCCAGACCCGGGTCTGGAGAAGCGGCTGTGTGCTCGGGAGCGCTGCGCCAACAACTACGCCCTGAAAGAAGCCCCGGGAATGTCCTTACTGAATTTTGCGAAGAGCATCTGGGGCTTCTCTCAGGGTAAGAAAAAGCCCGACCCGCGCCGGCGAGGCAGGCAGCGGGGCCGGGAGCGCCTCCGGGTCGTCGGGGGCCGCGGCGAACAGCGCTGCAGCCGCGGCCGACGGCTGTGGCTTTTCTGCGGCGTAGCTTCCCCAACGAACAAGCGAATCAACGAAGCGGTTTCGTTTAGGGAAAATACCCTCTTGACACGAAGCTGGAGCCGAAGCCCCCGGCGCGCCGCCGAGGGGCCCTCGCTTCCCCTCGTGCCGGGACCCCGGTGCCGGAGCGCGGGCGGCCCTGACGCCCGCCCTTTCTCCAGAGGCCCCCAGCGGCCCTGCTGCCAGGAGGGGCTGCGGGAGCCGTCCAGGGCTGTGCCCTCGAAGCTTCTGCCCTTTCGGGGTGCCCTGGGCCGAAGCGTGGGGTGGGCCCGCCGATTAG